ATGTCTTCGTCTTTTGTAGACGACTAAACGTATGGGTTTTCTCATTGTTGAAGGCTGCACAGTTGCCTATGATTGTTAATATCCACTTCATCTGAAATTTGGTGGGTAGTTGTCTCATTGGCAATCATACAACATTTCATTATTTTATACAGCCGTTTAAAAATTTTTAAAAAGTATTCTTGTTGTTGAATTTTTCATTATTTGTAACAGTGGCAATTCTGATTAAATTATCATTTCAATCTGTAATCAAGTTTCAGAGAAGGAGATCTTTGTTTAGATTTCCTTTAGGTTCATATGTTAAACTATGTCCTGATGTGACACTCATCTTTGGATCGGCACCAAAACAAAACATAATCTGATTATTCGAGCACAATATCAATGCAATCTGTCAAACAGTTAACTGAGAGGTTTTGTGTACGGATATGTACTTCCCATAGGATTCTTTGTTAACCATATTGACATCTTTCAATTGTTGAATGCTGGTCTCTATTCTTTTGAATTAATCGTTGTTGGTTTGTTGTCTCATGAGCGGACTACAACATTTCATGTTATTGAAATAAAATAATACGGACAAACTGAAAATACTTACCTAAAAAAATCCTAATTTCTTACCAGTTCTATCTCGATCTTATATATTATCTGTGCATTACAGTTTTTAGTTGTTGATCTATGCCTTTATTTTCCTCATAGACTTATTATTTTTGTTCTGGTGGGATCCATTTTTGGAAACCTATAACAATAGATACTGCATCAAATATTTTGCATCAATTTGTAAAAAGTTGTTATTCCCAACATGCTTTTTATGGTATTATTTATGAACCTAATACTTTATAAATTGTCATTTGAAAAAGTACATCATGAGAGAAAGATTGTATCGAAGTGTTACAAAGTTCTGTCAAGTGGTTAATGAGCAATTGATGACACATGGGACATAAGGGCAAAAGGACATATAGCAGGTGGGTTAAGTCGCCACATACACGAACAGGAATAAAAGTGCCTGTCCTAAATCAGGAATCTTTGGGAAATAGTGGTCAATTGAAATATTATAACACATTTATATAACAAGAGTGTCCACGCTGAAATGTCGTGCCTGCTTTACTGACCATGCACTATTTCTTTTGAAAGTTTAATGCATAAAAGTACCACAGAACCTTGACATGTTCAATGATCCATGACAATGAAATTAGAGTCTGTATGACAGTCAATTCTATAATCATAGATAGGACAGTCCATATATCACGATCATGACCAGTTTTTCAATAACTATTATATAATTTAATTGTTTGGAACATGCATGTAATATTTGCCACTGGACATTAAGCACATTTTGAATACATGTATTGTAAGTACTTTATGAATGTGTTAGTATTTTTGAGGACTCTCACTGACTCAGTAGGATTATTTTTATATAATGGAATTATCCTCTTGAAATAAAGATTATTTATACGAAATTTTGTTCAATAATTATGTGTCGGATTATTAGGGTGTCGGTTCATTGGGTCGTCGGACTTTTGGGGTGTCGGACTAATGGAGCCTTGAACCGACATAAATTCAATCATTGACCAATAAAAAAATATATATTTCTACAAAGTGTATGTACATGATCTCTTCATATAAATTTCACATGCAGTTTCCCTTGTAGCCGTATGAAAACCAAGACAAGACCGGTTCACACAGGAAGATTAAGAAAGCAAAGAAAACTGTGCACTTTATAAAAGGGTCTGGATGGGGTTTCTTCATTTCTGTATTCTTTAATATTTTATACCATTTTCACTATTTATTATAAATTTTGCCTGTTATTCTCTTTTCTTTATATTTAAGCACCACATTATTCTCTATTCTTTATGGCTACTTCATAAATACAACAAAGGATCGACTGATATGAAAGCCTGCCATTCTAAAGTTGCATTAAATCCGTGAAAAAAGAAGGGACATTGGATAATTGTCTGTTTTCTGTTTCTTGGTCTTTTCTCACTTGCCGTTGGAGGCAAAATTTATGTCTCTTTAGTTTGTATCTTATAATAAAAGAATATAGGTAAAAAATATAATCCCGCTAACATGTTTAACACCGCCACGCTCTGTATGTATGTGACTGTCCCAAGTCAGGAGCCTGTAATTCAGTGGTTGTCGTTTGTTGGTGTGTTATATATTTGTTTTTTGTTCATTTTTTTTGTACATAAATTAGGCTATTAGTTTTTTCGTTTGAATTGTTTTACATTTGTCATTTCGGGGCCTTTTATAGCTGACTATGCGGTATGGGCTTTGATCATTGTTGATGGCCGTACGGTGACCTATCTATAGTTGTTAATTTCTGTGTCATTTGGTCTCTTGCGTAGAGTTGTTTCATTGGCAATCATACCACATCTTCTTTTTTATAAACAAATATATGCAAGTCTAACGTTCTGTTACCCCTTATGGAACCCGTTTGAACTAAATTCCAAAGGAAAGACATTTTTTGACATAATAATTTTTTTGTCTTACACATAAATGTCAACATGCA